TGTTAATATTATTTTGCTTACATACATGTGAAACACTTGATTACATCTACTACAAATCATGTGTTATATATATATATATATATATATATATATATATATATATATATATATATATATATATATCAGTATACCTACAACGTAGGACTAGGTACATATATGCAACGGTTCAAGTTTCCATACTTGACGCCCCCAAATACCCTGGTACGGCCGAGAGTGGGCTGTGCCTGCCCTCCCTCTCGAAACGCTCTCACACGGCCACGTATATACAGCCTCTGCCAGGGAATGCCTACTCATCGCCTTCTCGTGGCGGGCGTGTTGCTTATGAAAATAAGAGGACGAAAAGCGAATGTTCGGCGTTTTAACGGGATTCCAAACCAACGGTGCACATGGGCTTGCTCCAGGATCCTGAAGGAACAAATGGCGTATGAACCAATCGTTGGTCACTGGCTTCCATGGGACTGCATCTCCTTACGATGCCCCACTGCCTTGTGGATCAGACCTTCAGGCCGAAGCCTCCGGGTGTGGCCCCCTAAGAAAACCACCTGTTCGGTCTGGACACCCGGGCAGTATCACAGCCCTCACACAAATCAAGTGAGGTTTGTGTGGCGCATATTTCTCTGGTGCCTCCTTGTACCAATATCTATGTGTTCAAATAAATAAATGGTGCCTCCTTCACACTCGATTAGCATAACAAGGTGAACATCGAAGCCATTGTGATTGATTGTGAGACATGTCACTCAAAGTCTCCAACCATTGGTTACGATAATCACACGGACCCCAAGCAAGTAGTCCACATTTACCAACATGTTCAGACCAGAAGTTAGTGACTTTAAGGACTGATTTCACGATTTAGTTTGGCCGACCCCTAGTTATTTTGATGGGGTTTTGTTCTCTTTGCTGGATGGTTTAGTCGCGGAGCTTTCATCGTTCTTCTGAACAACATCATCAGAACAACAGATAAAAGTTTTTGCTGATAATATCGTTTAAGAGAGCGATGAAAGCTCCACGACCGAACCATCCAGCTCACAGAACAAAACATTAAAATCATCCACTTGAGCTACAAATCTTCACCGCTTCTAACTAATTATGTATATATATATATATAAAACTTTAAAATTTACTATTGAAAATTAGTTAATCATTGAGCATGCTTAATTAAATGACAATATCTGTCTGTTATTGATTGGCACTGAAGTAACATTAGCTTATGATTGTTCTGTGTAAGATAGATAGAATGAAGTTTTAAGTGTAGATTATCGGAATTTTCACCTATGGTTGAGAAGTATTGTAGTTGTAATGAAGAAGAGAAGGTCGTAAGGTTGGCAACAGCAGGATTGTATGTTCATTGCTGTGAGGTTTGTAACCAGAGTGAAACAGATGTATAGCTTCTCATGGGTTCAAATAGTTCCATTGGATTTATCATTAGATTATAACTACAGATCATCAAATGTTTATTTCCGTTAAGTTCATTTTTAATATATCAATAAAAATTCATGAAATCAACTATTAAACATGATTGCACTATACACCAACGCCTATTCTGACAATGATCATCATGTGCTCACTAGTGGCTGGCTTCAAGAAATATTTCCTGAACTTCTAGTGAAAGAGCGTGGCCGGTGGAGTTCTACCGTATCTGTTGCAGAGGCAGTTGCTCACTGAAGTTAATGGTGCACAGTTGTGCAATATCGTTAAGTGATTGAAATTAAACATTAACACTTGGATGCCAGCTCAGTGCTCTAGGGGTTAACTGATCGCCCGCGAGATCATGGATGCTCAGGGCTGAGGAGTCTCATACTGTGACGAAATTGTCGTTCAATGCATCCAGGTTTTCCATAGTGCTCTAGATTCAATCGACCCATGAATTCAAATATCAATAATCCATTATTATCTCTTTAAAGCCGTTTATTTCTTGATTTCCTTTATTTCAAATATCATTTAATTTTGATGATTCACCCAAATAAAAGTGACATCTATTTTTAACTCGATAGGCAACCAGAAAACACCATTCTAACCGGTGTTAGAACTTAATTTCATATTCAATAAAATCTTATTTCTCAGTTAATTATCTTATTACCAGCCATGAATTGAGTCTGCTCCCGATACTTATAAGATTTAGCTAAAATCTAAAAACTGAATCGAGTGAACGAGTAAAAATGTTTCACGACCCCATAAATAATTTGGATAGTTTGTAGATTGTTTTTGACATGTTGTGAAAATATCAGCCTCATGAGATATTGTATGTTTGGTACTTTTGAACTGCAGTAAACTGAATGCAAATGTTTAATTAGTTTGACATCTCGATAATTCTATTCCCTTATCTAGTTCCTTCTGTACAATCGATAGATCTATTGTCGTTCTAAACCCATAGAATCCGATTTGTAAGAGCTTTATTCATCAAGAAATTATTTAAAGTTTTGTATACATTCTGTTGTATAAAGATATTTGTGATCGTAGAAACAATTACTTTACATAGTTCTTATTTGTAATACGTTGTTAATTTTGACATCCTTGATATTAATTTGATTTGTATAGTGAATTTCACTTGTTAAGTATTGTTGTTTGCTGTAATATGTGATAAGTCGTGTAGGTTGAACGCTATATACGATTCCTAAGCTATTCCGATAACCCGCAGTCTAGAACTACACAGCGACTTGAACTCCAGAGAGAAGACACAAGAATGAGAGAAAGCACTTTATTCCAAGGTTCATTTTTGTACAGAAAATCATGGGTATTTATAGATTTTGGCGTCTGTTAAATCAACATCATTTTACAGCCAATCCGATAACAACACATTATGCTACCGACCAATAGTAGCACGCCACGTTGGAATTCTGGAACGTTCCATCACGCTCTGATTGGCTAGGACTCTTCGGCTCCTTTTGGGCCTCTGGAGGCTCCGTTGAAGTTCTCCGGAAGCCGACCCAACAATATGAACAATGAAGTCAATTCAGTGCTTGTCTGTAATTTCCCGTGGAATAATGAACTTTTTGAATCTTACCACTTAAATCATATCATTTTTGAAGTAGAAACAATGACAGTAGTTATATATTCTTAGTGTCACTTCGCATAAACCAGTCGAATTATTGTATAAGACATGAAAGTGCTACGTAGAAAATTGGTTGTTCTTATTATTACTGGATTAAATCTTTAGAAGTTTGATTATTAATAAATGGTTGAATTACACTGCTTGGCGAAGTGGTTGCTCAGTTGTCAAAACATATGTCAATCAACCATTTGGATTGTAAATTTGAACTGACATTTAAGTACTCTGATTTAAACATACCACGCTTGAAATGCATTGTGCTGGAATAAGACATAAAACTCTAAATGATAAATAATTTAGAGTGATAATTAGTTTTGTTCACTGCTGATTAACATCGGTTGTAGACATGACACTTTAAATCTACTCCGATACGACAATAAAAGTTCCTTAATTAAACTGTTTGACTCAGAAGACCGAACAACATCAAAATCTTTCAATTCAGCTTCAAATATTATCTATTATTTCAAGTCATGTTTATACATTTTAAGGTTTCATTTTTGTTTTCTTTAGAAATACATATGAACAGGTGAACAAAAAAAGGCTCTAGTGTCGGTTACTATGTTAAGCCATGATAACTTATTGAAGCTTCTGGACAGGCCAATTTATTCATTCCTTTTGAGTCATGTTTTGACCTTTTTAATTATCCGCTTATCAACTCGGACTGTTTTTATATGAGCGTATATGTGTGTACATATCTTATCCTACTCATCACATGTCTGTAGCTTACTTTTGTGTGACTGTAAATATTGATTCACGATTGATTAAATGGAGTTGGCTCACATGTCATCTCCACTGCACGCCATTTCGATTCGCTCTTTCCTCTTCGCTTTGCTTCTTTGCTCATTTGTCTGGATCAACGATTGTACAAAATGTACGTACCCGAAATTCCTTCTCGTAGTTGACTTATTTAGATCCGTTTTAGTAGCCCGTGGATCTGACTCCATTTAGATCGTATAGATGCTTGCTATCGCCTATTCTCGTATATCATCGTCGACTTGGATCGCGTTAGTCAATAACGGAATTAAATTAGTCGAATAACGAGAATTGACTTGTGAATACATATATTTTGTACATGAAGCGAATGAAACAGAGCAAAGCAAAATGACACGCAGGGAAAATGGCTGGGATGCCTACTCCATTTTAGTCAAGCGTTACTCAATATTTATAGGCAGACAAAATAAACTACAGACATGTGATGAGTCAGTCATGGGATATGAAGTGTACACACATATACGCTCATATAAAAACAGTCAAGACTGATAAGCGAATAATTGACAAACTCAAAATATGACTCAAGTAGAATGAATAGAATGGAATGTCCGAAAGCTAGAATAAGATACATGGGCTTAAAATAATGACTGACACCACAGCGTTATTCACTAATGCGATTTAAGTCGATAATAATAGACGAGAATAGTCAGAACGAATAATGATCATACTGTGGTATGGGTTACTTATATCCATATAAGTAGTATATAACGGTGGTCAGGCATAGAATGTATCTCAGTTGAAGATCGCAAAAGAAAGGACGAGAACCAAACGCAATTGGTATGAAAATCATGAACAATGAAATCTGAGACAATGGATTGATATTTGCAAGAGGAAAAGTGAAGTTTGAGACTATGGATTGATATTTTGCAAATCAACTATTTACTATATGGTTCTGAGATTTTAGTGGGATACTCTGTAATTAGGTGTCCAATTACATTCGATTGTCCCTACTCGTGTTCTTGTTCACTACAATACAATCGACCTGGAGTCAGATTTCGGACCATTAAAAAGCTAAAACCTATGTAGTCAATTTATTATGTTATAAATAGATAAAGCCAAATATCGTCTAAATGACTTATGTTCAGAATCATAGTAAATTTTATCTAGTTTTAACGTACATTGTATCAATCTACACAATAAATATCGATATATATTTATTGTCTATGGTTTCTATTCATTGTAGACAACGTTCTTATCAATGTACAACTAAATTTACGTGTACCATTATTCTTTTCTGCATGGATTGAACGTTCTCATACTCCTGGTTTAATGGACTCACTTATACCAATGGTAGGTAATTTTTTTTATCTGTTTTTCTTCATAAGAAGTAACATTTATTTGAGAATAAACTTTATATTTTCCAAGTGAATATTTACAAATATCTAGCGTATAACTCATATTGTTTCCTGATTTCATTAGGAATCGTATTTACCGACTACTTTGATGTGTTACGTAATAAATTGAGTTTATATATAAGAAACAACTGAACCTTATTTCAAGACTATTAGTGAACAATAAACAATCGTTGCCTCCTTTCTACTGCTTTCTTTTTTCCACTTTCTGAACATTGATTTGAGATTAAAAAAAATCATTTAAACTAATGAAATTGAACTTACTTCCGAAATGAAGATTGAAGTGGTCAACGTTTACAGTCTTCATTTTATGTTTTAAAGCTAATGACGAGTATCTTCTTTCTTTTCTTTTTCCTCTATCTCTCTATTTCTCACGTTATCTAAAGAAAACTGATGAATACACCCAAAATAGTACAACTGAATTAGATTTAATCCATATAGTACGATTATTGCTTATTGTCTTCGTTAAAGATCAAATCTTTTACATTCTATCCACTAAAATATCTGATAAGTATTACTGACAAGAAAGAATGAATATATTATACTCTGGAAAATTTCATTCTTTCATATTAAGAATAATAATATATGGGAAGGGATGCATAACGGTTGATGATTATTAATAGGAAGCCTTGAGTAGAAAGTTTCGTGGCATTTGAAATTGTATTTTATAAATCATTTTAGTTAACATAATTTCTTTATCATATGACAAGATGAAAGATTCTTGTGCATATAACCAAAGTAATAAAATTAACAGTATGAGGTCATAGAGCTTATTAAGCATTTGATTGATATCATAATCTATAGGTTTAGAGGTTAAGCGTTCACGCACGCGACCGATAGTTCCTGGGTCCGAACCTAACGAGCGGGATCGTGGATGCACACTGCTAAGAAATCCCATACTAGTACGAAACGACCGTCTGGTAGTTCCAGGTTTTCACTGGTGATCTAACATCAATCGATTCATGATCTCAATCAAAAACCTAATAAAATAAACTAATAACTCTCAATTTAACCTAAAATGTTCTCTCTGCTCCTAATATAAGAATCAATTTGGTATCTGAAAGTTTAACGCATCATGAAAAGTTTCTTATTTTTTTAAACAGAGCAAGAACAAAGATTGGTGCACAATAATATTAATTCATTTTATTTCGTTGGGTTCTCATCAGCTGCTTACAACCTAAAATATTTAAAATTCAACATTATTACAGATATTGACATACTTATACATAAGGGGGTGATTAAGGATGAATAAATGTATCATGGTGTAGCAAAGATTCTCCTTGACACAGGACACAAAGTCGATACACTGAAGTCCTTCAAGGTGATTAATAAATAATCAACCTCTAACCTTCTGAAATTTGCTGAAGCATTAGTAATCAAACGTCTAAATCCAGACCTATGTACACAAAAAGAAACAGTAATAAAACTTTCTTTACCCTGGTGACAATAACCCCTTTTTTATTTATTTATTTCTCTATTTATTTATTGCGTCATTATCCCAACTCTTTTAAATTACATCATACATAACTGACTGATTTCAATTCATATTTTCTTTATTACCGTTAATCTATTTTCATGAGTTCTAATCACTATTTCAATGTTCCGGAAATTTCCATCTCAAACTTTATTTATTCGAGACAAACATTTTATGACCTCATTAACTCTATCGGAATCTTCGCTACACCATGATACATATATTCATTCTTAATCACCCCCTTATGTATAAGTATGTCAATATCTGTAATAACGTTGATTTTTTTTTAGATTGTAAGCAGCTGATGAGGATCTAACGAAATAAATCTTCATTCTTGCTCTCTTTAAGATAATAAAGGGAACTATGTGTATGAAATTTCTTATTTTTCCTTAAGATGTGATTTAAAAAGACTATCACCTAACAACAACAAATAATAGAATATATTTGAATTTTTGTTAGATCATAAATTAGTGATATAAAACTATGTAAATAATATTATTCCATAAAATGGACTTTACCTACAATTAAGAATAGATCTATGAAGTATTCTATATTGTCAATTGTATGGAAACATTCACCTGGTTTGATCCATATCTCTACAATAATATCTTTGTATACTGTTTACTTAATTACGGAAAATCACGATTAAATAATCTTGTTTTCTTTTTCTTCTAAATTTTCATCGGTTTCTTTTCATTATCCCGTTCATTTTATCAGTAATAAATCATATCAATGTAGATTAGAATGATTGTTTATATCATCAATGTGAAATAAAATAAAGTCAACATTGATTCACGTGTTATTTACTTAAACATTTTATTTCATGTTTTTATTTACTACTACTACTACTACTACTTATTATTATTATTATTATTAGTTGGATAATTGTGAACAACCAGAATTACCAACTTATGAAGAGTTGGAAAATTATATTACAGATAAATCGAAATCTTTTGTAACTTCCTCATCGTCAAGATTATTCAATACATCACCTCTGGATAACTTAGCATCATCATCATCATCATCGTCGTCGTCGTCAACACCGTTTCTATGGAATCGTGTTCATGAATTACATAACTACATTCATCATCTTGGTAAATTAGCTTGGAAAGCAAGATATTCAAATATTCCGGACCAATATCTTTCTGATGGATCATCTAAATATCTAAACTTTTCTGGAGTTCTACCTGTTTTATATAAACTTCAAAAGGTATGTAGTTGAAGGACTTCTTGAAATGCTTTATTTTATGTTTTAAATAAAAATGTAATATTATATTCAACAATTTGATTGGGAATCAATTAGTTAATTAGTTCTCTTCTTTTCTCGTTTATATAACTCTAAGTTAGCTAAGGCGCTAAATTTAAATGGAACTACATGCTTTGGGAAAAATCGGTTGATAAAATTCATAAGAAAATGAATAGTGAAATGTTTCTTTTATCAGTATGGGGTTGTGGAGATTGTTAAGTCTTTGATTGAGTTCATGAATCGACTGATGATAAACCACCATTGAAAACTTAGATGCAATCGACGACCGTCTTGTGCTAGTATGGGATTCCTCAACAGTGCACATACACGATCCCCCCCGCGGGCTTTGAACCCAGGATCTTCAGTTTCGCATGCGAACGCTTAACCTATAGACCATTTAACGTGAATCCAACATCGTTAGTGTCTAGCTTCCATCGATCTATGAATGTTTCTTTGACAAAATGTAAATGGCTTCCATCAAAAGTGTATCGTTCTGATTTTCATATATGTATATTTATACATATTCAACAAAGAGAATGAACTATCTTTGCAGTAATCTACAAGTAATAGTACGTATATGTTGTGTTTGTTTATCTATTTTAAATTTGATATGTTCTATACCATTACCCATTTAGAATATAGTAGTCTTTTAAATTACTGAGTATTATCATTGTATATGTATATATGGTTTGATTTATTAAGCTTAGAATTACCATAGAATCATCTTTAAATGAATTTACACTGATTAATGACATTCGTTTGTAACGTATTCAACATTAAAGAAAGAAACACTTGAGCATGGAAATCTTCTAATCTAATACAATACGATCAGAGATGATTGAAAATAATTTATGATCAATAATTTGTTGCAAACGTATATTTAATCATTAGGGAAATCATATCAAATCAGTAGTTTGTCTTATTATATATAAAGTGAAGTTTTTCTCTAAAGTATGGTCTATAACTAGTGAATGGACTTGGGATGAATAAATTTGAGAACAATTTACGTCAAGGCTTGTTTAAATACTTCATAATAATAATAATAATTATTATATATATATTCTGAAAATAATAATTACAGAATTCACGCCAGTTTACACGCATGATCAATTCGGTATAAATAGTAACATTAGATGTACAGAACAAACATGTGATAGAAGAAAGTTTTAAGTATACTAGTTCAGTAGTTGTTTAGGTAGTACATGTATTACAGCGATGCAATGCATCAGCCGGGAATTTTTAATATTTCTTAAATGGACAGCCCGTTGATTTATGCACGGAGTAATTCAGGTCATTTCGTGTGCCAGATTGAATTAATGATAATTATCTACAACTAGAGAAATTAAAACGAAAACAGAGAGCACAGAACAATAAAGCAATAATTACCAAAATATATCAATCAGGTCTACCATAATCCATGAGCAGTGTGACACAGTGATATACTGTTGATGTTATTCAAATTAGTTAAACTTGCTGGAGACGGTGTTAACGTGAATTGACAGGTGGATTTAATTAGGGAATTGACTAATAAGAATGGTTAAACATTTAAAGTTCCTGTAATCACACTTATGGAATGAGATACACTTACAGATGCTAAAACATTTAATGTATTTTCAAAGGAACAGTATTCTGCCTCAGAATATCATAAGAAAATAAATTTTCTGAACGTGATATTCACATTAAATGTGTTATTTGCCAAGTGGTTATCCTATATAATCCATACGCTGTGAGGTTGTTTGTAATTTCATAAATAACCTCGAAAAGAAAATCATTATGCAATCGTACAGTACTAGAATTATTGCTTATGACATTTAAATATATCTGTTCTCATGAGGCATATTCTATGTGTAAGTTTATTGCTTGGCTATAGAAAAACGACTTTTGTTGAACATTTTTTTTTGTATGTTGACAATCATACAATGAGGGTTAAGGTCAACAGTTCATATGCATGATTAGTTATCATTCAGCCTTATTCGTTATATCAGTTTATGATGATCGATTGCAATCTATAAAACCACAAAATTTCAATCCATTATTACGATCCCAGTAATTAAGAAATGCTATCTAATTATAGCGTTACATTTTCTATCACCCATTTGTTTTTCATACATTTTATGACGGTACTCTGTTGTGTACATAGAAACCAAGTATTTATAAAAAGGACAACTTGAAAATAGTGATTTTTCTTGTTTCTCACTAAAATAAACACTTTACTCTTTATGCAAATAAAGATAAAAAATAAAACTGTGGTATATGCTAGTTATATACATTAGTAGTATGCAACACCAGTCAAAAGTGAAAAACCTGACGACAGAAGGCTGTGAAAGTTGACGTAAAGAAAACAGGAACGATATTAGAAAGGAATTATGAATCGAAAAAAATTATACTGAATGTAAAACGTAGATGATGGAAATTTGTAAATGAAATATTTAATATATAGTTTTCATATTCTGTAATTTTATATTAAAATACAATTGGTTATCTCCACCTATATTCTCGTTCATTACAAAACAACTAGACGACTCATTTCTTTCGTAAAACTAAGATCATTTAACCATTCTATCGACTATTTTCAGTTCAATTGACTTCTACTAACAAACAGATTAGATTAATTGCACTTCTGAAGAGTCCTACAATAGGGCGAAACGGCCATCCAGTGCTTCCAGGTTTTCAATGGTGGTCCAACATCAATCGGTTCATGATCTCAATTTTAAAAAAATTAATTATAAATTATAACTATTTCTTACTAAAATCTTATCAGGTTAAAATAAACCGCCAAATCAACTTTGTCTTATTTTCCATTATTGAAGTTCATTTAAAACCTTCTCATATGTACATATCATTGAAATTAATTTCGTTATGGTTCACTTCTTTCTCTTTAAATTTAATTCAAGTTTCTTCTTTTTCCAAAAAATAAACAATTAAAGAATAAACAAATGATGTCAAATTAGAAATCAAAAAAATTAAAACTATTCAATGTTCAATGTATCAATCAAATTTCTTTTCAGATATAAAAACAAATCAAATATGAAAATTGTGTGTGTTTTTTCGATGAAACACAAAAAACAAACATGATTGATAAGTGACCAAGATACCAATTGATTAAGGTTGTTATGTAATTTAAATTTATGAAAGAAAACTTGCGAGCATTAATTAAAATCCAGCGAAAAAAATGTTTGTAAAAATTATATTTTTTAATTAACTTAGTTACGTACGACTGTTACTCCCAATGGTGCATAAGCCGTCGACCAGCATTCTCCAACATACTCTGTTCTGGGCCTTCGTTTCTAGTTCTATCCACTTCTTATTAATTCTTCTCATGTCTGTCCCCATTTCTTGGCGTAATGTGTTCTCTGGTTTTCCTCTCCTCCTTTGGCCTTGCGAGTTCCATGTGAGGGATTGCCTTGTGACATAGTTGGATGATTTCCTCAGTGTGTGTCCGATCTAACTCCAGCACGTTTTCCTGATTTCTTCACCCGTTAGGATCGGGTTTATTCTCTCACACAGTAGGTTGTTGCTGATAGTGTCTGGTCAACGGATCCGAATTATTTTGCGTAGACAACTGTTAGTAAACACCTGTATCTTGTGGATAATGGCTTTCGTAGTTTTCAGTAGGTTTCCGCCCCATACAGCGAAACTGTCTCGACATTCATTCGTATTGAGAATTTTGACTATAATGATGGTTGAGAGTTGTTTTGAGTTGCAGATGTTGTTCAGTTGTAGATATGCTGCTCTTGCTTTTCCGATCCTCGCATTCACGTGTGAATCAGATCCACCGTGTTCATCAATGATGCTTCCCAGATATGTAGATGTTTTTACATCTTCCAAATCTTTTCCGTCGAGTGTGCTTTGGTTGGTGCATGATGTGTTGTATCGGTGAATGTTGTTTTATCCTTTATGTGTGTTGAGACCTACTGCTGTTGAGGTTGCTGCTGCATTGGCCGTCTTCCACTGCATTTGTTGTTGGTTGTGTGATAGAATAGCCATATCGTCTGCAAAGTCTAGATCGTCCAGCTGTATCCTAGCTGTCAACTGTATCCCATGCTTCACTTCAAATGTTGACGTCCTCATGATCCAGTCGACCACCAGGAGAAAGTGAAAGAGTGAGATTATGCAACCTTGCCTGACACCGGAAACAATCATATTACCATTATGTTAAAGTAGAAAATAAAAATCATTGATTATAACTCAAAGTGACCAAGTTAAAACAAACACATAAATGATATCAAACAATGTAATTATTTAATTAGAAGAAATATTCTGTTGTCATGAGTGAATCACTATTAATGTAACAATATAAATGACTGTTTTTAAATTGGTATGTTTTTTATTAATAAATAGGTTTTGAAAGTTGACATCACAGAATCACTTTCCTTAGATAACTATTGATTATCATGAAGATTTGGACAGTTTTTTCATCTTTGTATGGCAACCCTCTGTAGTATAGACCTATGAAGTTACTCGGAATAGAATAAAAATTCTTTAAGCTTTCATAGTCAGGGTATAACCTCTGAACTAGGCGGTTAATATCCAATGGTTTACATGTCTAGCTTCAACTAGATTATCATACACTGTGCTTTACAACTTATCTAGTTAAACTTCACTGGTCAAGTTTTCAACGATGTAACCTATAAAAGTGAAATGTCATTTAAATTGTTTGTTGCTGAATTAGATTACGTGATGTCTTATTAACGGTCTGTTAAAATCACTCATATGTAAATTATTATTATGAAACGTATCGAATGAAATATTATTCTGATCAGAAACTAGCGAAAATTATTCATTCAATCTTTATTATATGTTAAATACACTGGTCCTACACTACTGCCAATGTACATACATGCATAAAACAGTTATACAGAAGAACTCGACATTCAGTGATACTCCTATTAATATTAATTACCTTGAAATAATAAATGTCAATCAAATATGATCAATTAGTGATCAGAAGGTAGGTAGAAAAC